CGTTGTCGTCGCTTTCATTTTCCAACGTGCTTGCGGTCACGAAGCATAAAAGACAAAGCCACAATTATGCACATTTGATGTAAAGAAAATTAAAAAACATAAACAGGAAAAACTCGTTTTGCGAGTGGTAATGAAACTCTAGTTTTTTCTCTCTTGAATCATCCAACAAGTTATTTAAGACTATCTACTCCTAAATATTTGGACATTTTGAACAAGTTGTTTTATTAGCAAGACACCACTCGTTTCATGACCGATCCACCGTGGCGAAAGCGTCAAGTTAAAAACGTAAATCAATCAATCAATCAATCAATCAACCAATTTAAACACTTAAATGCTGTTGTTTTCCCCATCGGTGTGCACGGACCTCTTCTTAGATGTCACGAATAAAATATTTTTTTCAAAACTGCGTGCAGACTTTTTTATACCAAGAATTCACGTCCAGTGTGTCGATTTACCAAAGGGAAAGATCAAAATATATTTTGTCGTACTTCTCGGCCAATATTCTTTTACCGTAATGCGCTATACCAGTTCAAACATTATACAACTTTCGCGGCATACCTTTGCTAGTCAGCAGCTAGTACAGCTTCTAACTTTTTGCCGTTACCAACGAGGGAAGCGTGTTTTAATGTGGCCACCTACGTTTCCAATTTGTGTGTAGTTTGTGAATGTTGTGTTATTTTGTGTTGGTTAAGTAGTGTGATTTATTTATTCTTTGCTTTATTGTGAGCATTTCTTTGTTGTTCACAGTCTTAACCTTATTCTTCTGACACGAGCCACATCTTGTTTTTCTCCTTGTTCACCTATTGTCCGTGGCGCATACGCACTGTGGAAGGTTGGCCAAGAATTGAGTGGCTTTATAAAATAGTATCCAGTTTTAGAATAATGAAGACGGTATAATAGAAAGATTTCCGATGACTTCGGAAATCGTGCTGCTTGATCTAATGCAATTATTTTTTTAAAGAAAAGATTTTTTCTTCAATTACAGCAATACTTTGATTTTTACGCGTATATACTGATGTTGTAGACACGTTAAGACATCTGTGTTCTTGTTTTTATTTTCTTTTTAAACTGTCACATTCCACTGCCACCAGAACTTTGTAATTTCACAATTTCCTAAATCAAGGTTCCAGATAAGCTGTGAAAGGCCGCATTTTAGGGGCGAAGCTGATTAGGGTTGAGCAATGTCCCCTGTCCGTCAGCGTGACACGCTTGGCACATACGCGCTGCGATATGGCGGTACTTGGAGTGTTCACTAGATGGACGCACGGACGGATGCACGGGCAGCTGCACAGACAAGCAGACGGAAAGACAGATGGACGGACGCATGAACGGACGAACAGACGGGCTGACGTACGCATGGGCGGACGGATGGGCAGACGCACGTACAGGCGTACGGACGCAAGGAAGCAAGGACGAACGGATGGAGAGGCTGATGGCCACTTCGTCCCACTAATCCTCATTCATTCCGCGGATATGCTGTGATTTCTTTCATTCAAACCAAACTAAGCATATAGTGTGCATGTATGCACATGTCATGCGGTTCAATAAACTTAAAAAAATAACAGTAATGAGAATTTCATGAAACATTTTGGCTAGCCATATTTTCACGCCGAAATCATCGAGTGTAAGGTCAGAAATTTAAATAGGATTTTTTTCGTGTTTTCGAAGCGTTCGCTCAATGAAAATTTCAGAAACTTCGTATGCTTGCTTTAGGCACCCACAGATGGCAATGCAATGCATTTTTATCAGTTAGCAAAAATGTACGACTCAGCAGTTTACGTGACTGTTTACTGATTTGCAAAAAATATCTTACCCATTAGTGTGTATTACAGAATGAAACTACACCAACCAGCCGAGTTTCAAGCCCACTAAAATCAAAGCGGTGGCTTCAGTTAGAGCTTTACCATCACACGCTAACAGTGAAAATGCAATTGAGCCAACAAATTTCAACTCTAAAAAGCTTTACTTCAATCACACAAATTTTATATTGACACAAATCATTTGACCTAATACATAAATCCACCAAAAAACATCGCTACAGCTCACTCTGTGCGAAGTTGCCGTTAGTGGGCATGATCTTCCCGTGGTTTGTAGCATAAATTCGAGCTCGGAGCGCACTCCAAGTACGTCCTAAACTAATCTAGGTCTTGGTGAGGCGCCCTTTGACAAATAAAGGCACAAAACCTTCTTGCCCCCAGTTGGCGAAGTGACCGCGCAGCCGATGGTGTTCAAGCACATGGCAACCGCCACAATAATTGACGAGAAAGCAGCATTCACATATCGCCATCCTGAGGTTCGTGGCTCTGAAGCCGCAGTACCTTCGGCGGTGCAGAGGTCAGCCTCAGAGCGATGCTGCGCTACTTGCCGTCCGCATGCGGTGTTCTGCACATGCGCCCCCATCGTGCATGCCGGACTTCGCCTCGGCTCACTGGAAGAATAAGAGGTGAGGTATTTCGTTTAGAACGGAGTGTGGAGTGCAACCAAAAGCGTCTGCTATAGGTGTTAGTAAATGACAAATATTTCTTAGTGAGCGGAAAGCCAACCGGCTGTCTCAATCTTTCTTGCTGACTACGTCTTGGCACTTTCGTGATAGTTTTGTCAACTTGATATAGACCAAAAGTGGACAGGAGTACGCGAGCGTTCCCCGTTTCATGAAGCTTATGCACCTAATGATATCCTTTCCACCACTCACTGGGGCCCGAACCCATATACCATGGCATTTGTTATACGTACGAGACACAGGTGATCCACAGTCCACAGAAGAGTTTGCAACACGAGAACATGCAGACCGCCGATCCTTCCGTCCCATAGCTCGCCCATGACAGTCTTTGTCATTTACCCTTTTTTACGACTGCGGCTATTTGAGAGATTTCTACACACGGCTCGCAATATTTACTTGCCTATCGTTATAATGTTTTGTTCTGGTAAGATACACAGACTTTACCGGCCTTAAGCATATTTTTTTCGTGATGCACCTCATGAAAACTTCACCTTGTGTTCAAACCTAACCGCAGAACAGAAACCTGATTACCAGAATTAACATCCAGATTAAGCCTATTGTGGAGATCGGCATGGATATATATGTTTCTCGAATCGAGATAAAAATCATTCTTCAGCCCGTATATGTGATATGCCTAAAACCTTGTCGTGTGGCGATGATAGCTGACATTTTGTTGAACCCCTTTCCTCCCCCTCGTGCACCTTCCTCACGGTCATAGCCCTATGCGGGACAAAATTTTGTGAATGCGTATATGTCACTGGTGCGAGATTGGTTCCACTGGTCTATATCCGCCCAGCCTTTGTAAATGTGCACGCACCAGCGTAAATGATTTCAGGTCGAAGAAAATGTGTCGGTGGGGTTATCAGTCGGCCAGGTAACCAGATGCATGTAAAGAATAAAAATGACTGTGCGTGCAAAAGGTGAACCCAATCAATCTGAATAGCAGAAGCACTTGGAGCCATGCAAGTGCTTCTAACTGCTTCGTGAAAATACCTCATGCAAGCGTCATGTAAGCACAACGTGAACAGAGGTTACAGTGTAAACTATCTACTTCGTTAGCTACTGTTCAGATCCATCCTACATACAGTGTTTGGGTTCGCAGTGGATTAATTAGAGCGCCTTCCGAAACAATGTTTACCACTGCATTTTTTTTAATTTGCGATCATGAGTGCGTTCGGGTGACCAAGATGTGGTGCTTGGGCACTTTGTATATACCACACATGTCTTACCACCGGTAGCTGGTTGCTATAAAGAGTAAAATGACGCAATAAATCCGGTGAATTACAGCAGTATTCTCTTGTGTCTTCTTCCGTGTGGTGTCAAAAGCAGTATTGAAGATATGAAGCCGTATGTGGTTAACATGAAGTAGAGCGAAAGCATTTTCGCAGGAGGAACTTTGGGTGGGCTTCCACGAATATACTCTATGCAGTTTGACAGAACAAAGCCCAAAGGAGACAGCACGTCAATTATTTGAAGCGGCGAACAGTGTTAACTAGGCAGACCCACGCGTTAGCTCACCTTCAATTGACCAACTCGAAAAAAGATCGATCGTTTGAATATGCAGTAAGGGTAGCTTGACAGAGATGGTATTTTATCATGCCTTGAAATCGTAAAACAATATTTTGGATATATTTACCTCGCGGTATTTGACATTATCTTCGCATTCTTCGCTCAGCTTTCACATGTACCGCTTACACTTAAAATTGTTCTTGTCTACATGTGCGCATGCGCTGTTTTTGGCCGGTTCATTTATTTACGTCAACAGCTCTGTAAAATAAATTTTGTTGCAACGTGGTGCTGGTGGCTACGGGCAATCAAGAACAAATGTGCGGTGGTGTAGCGAAGGCGAAATCCCAGAGGCCCTTGTACTGCGTGATGTCGCTGCATGTTATTGAACAACGGATGGTGGACCTTTGCGCCAGCCTTATATTATTGGGCATTTCTTATGATAATATAGGAACCTATGGACACAAAATACTATATACTAACAAAAGAAACAATTTATTGGAAGTTCGCATTGTGTCGGTGTCGTTCCACCAAGTCTCATTGCTTTTGGGCGTGTTGGTTGTTAATGCGGAACAGCAGCGCAGACTTCCTGGCGATGAAAATGACGTCTCGTCTCTAACGCGAATGCCGACAGTACACCAGGCCACGAGTTTGTGGTGACGCTATATTCGCCTTGACGTTGACAGTGAGTTTTGAGTTTTGATGAGGCACTTAAGGCTTAAGTTTCAACTTAAATTGGTTCATAGTGAAAACAAAGGGAGACTCTTGGCAGCACGAAAGTCTACGCAAGCATCAGGTTGATCTTTACTGAATTAGTAGCATCTAAATATCTCCTATATGAATGTCCATGGTAAACAACAGATCGTTTATGCAATGATTGAGCTATCACACAATTGCAAAAGGAGTTTGCGTAGGTTTGCGGACAGTATCGCACAAACTCGCATACTTGCAAAGGTGGCAGTGTTCTCTATGCTATAATCACTAAGCAACAAACGGCACACTGATAGCGCCCACGTAAGTCATGAAATCCGTGAGAAGACAGGCCTGAACGCCTCGGAATATAGTCGTTGAGCACCAGCAGTGTTCTATAAGTGAAGTAATTACACGGTTTAAATTACTTGCACATGCCTAGGTGCACCTCTCTTCAGGCTTTGTGTTCACTTATCTGCATGATCATACAACTTTAAAATAGCCCTACTGTTTTCACAAAACTTTTTTTTCATGAGCATGACAAAAACAAAAACATCATACTCCAGATGAGAGGCCAAGAGTGGCAATCGTTCACGATCTTTACGGTGTCTCGCACAAACTTCAGAAGGTATAAAGCAGCAGGTGCTAGCGTAAGGTTGGTGGTCTCAGTTCCAGTCAAACTGCGGATCACTGTGCAAGAAAAAGAACGCCCCTGCTTGCATTTGCAAGAAGCAACAAGCTACGAAGTTTGCTCCGTGGAAAACTGTAGATATTCAGGAGATACTGACGTCTTGCCGTGGCCTCTACGTTGGTCAACGGGTCGCTGCGTTATTGACCGGCTGAATGTTAACTAATCCCAGGCGCTCGTTGCAATATTTGGTTTCCATGGCCACTCACCTAATAGGCGATTGGCACCAGCTTTTTACTGGCTGAAGGAACGATGGCTTGTTCTGCTGAAATGGCAGAAACGGCTTGCCCAGATCAAACGTCATGTACAAGTTCTGGAAATCCTTGATATCCGAAATGTATGGGGAGTAGTGGTGCGGGTAGAACCTGCAGAAAGAGCATGGTGGCCAGCAGTGTCACTAACCCTTTTGCGACTGAAAAAAATTAGAAGAAAAAAAAGAAAAACGGCGAGAATGACCAAAACATCTTTTTTTTCGCTCACTTCGTACACCTTTTTTCATTTTCTATAAATAAGTTGGCACAACTGATAAATGAAATAGCGTTTTTTTACCTTTTTTAATGACATACGAAGATTCAGCATGCACGGCATCACAGGCGGCAATACATATAAAGCAGAGACAAAGGAGGGAAAGACAAAATAAGCTTCATTGAAAAAACATGGTCAAGTGGGGCCATCTCGCAGCGATAAACACAACTACAGTCGATACACACAATGATCACGGTGACTGGCGCGGCGCCTCGCGGCCGTCAGAGCAGACAGTCGTTGAGAGCCCGAGCGGAACAAAACACTCTCCCAACTCCTGGTAGCATGAAGTTTATCGGAATCACCGCACAGTCAATCTCTGACGACTGATTCCACAAGGGACCAATTTTCACCGATGATGAGTGCAGTCTTCATCGGTCATACTGTTATAAAATCTCCTGACCACTATACATAGTCCTCAACGGTCATGAAAGGGTTGAGTACTGGTCAGTTCTTGATGATTCTATTTAACACCACAGCTATACGAATGACAGCGAGACCCACTTAGTCCATGTTCTTATATTATGCCTAGACGTTTTCGCAATGGCCCAAACATCACGTAACCATCTCAAGTGCAGTTGACAAACTTTTCTATTTAATACCACCATGGCTAGCATTGTAAATTTTGCTAAACATAATCAGCAGCCTGCACAGCACAACTCATATAACGGAGCCCTCATTTCAAAACTTTGTTTCAAAAGAAAATGAAAAGTTACTCTCCCTTGGTTTGATGTTGGTTCGTTTACCGCCTGCAAGATTTTGAAGACTGCGAGCCAGCATCAAAGCATGACAAAATTGAGCACATGTCATTGAAGTTGCTGCAGGACCCACTGAATACAATCAACTTAGCTTAACAGGAATGCACAGGCTGGAGCAAACGAAAGGGAGCAATCTCCAATTTCTGTAGGCTCGCGATAACCCTACGTCTGATAATGCATACTTCTGTTCAATTCAAACAAAGTTCAATTTTTTTGGTTGTTCATTTATTCTTGCAATTTATTTAAAAGCCTCTTCATTCAAACACTCAACTCTGTTAATTCATACTTTTTTTTATTCCACATCAGAAAATATCTGCTGCTTTCTCACTACTACTTAAATTTGGGTGGTTATATAATTCTTACAGTCCCAAATACACAAATAAGTGCCTTACGCCTTTGAGGAAAAAGGTTTTGCTAGTAAACAAACGTTTGAAACGAAGCACAGACATGGTAAACCATGATGCTTTTCAACGGGTATAGAAAGCTTTGTGCTGAAGGCGCATATAGCAAAGAAGCATTTGGCAACTCAGTATTTTTTTGAAAGGTTTATTCAGTAGTAAATGGCCATTAAACTTGTGCACTTTACACCTGTGCTTTCTGTTCATTGCTTGCTGTTAGGGTTTTAAAAAGCTTAAAAATGTTTAAGTGCGATAAAATGAATGCCTAATTGTAATGAGTGGTGTCACCTCACCCACAGTCATATATATGAAAACTTCTGATGATTCAAACTTCCTGCTAATTCAAACAAAAGTCAGAGGTCCCTTTGAGTTCAAATCAACGGGAGTTGACTGTAATAGTTTCAGAAAAAAGCCTTTGCCTTGCACTGGACATTAACTGTGATGACAGTAATTTTTTTAAAAATCCAAGTAAGATTTTAGTTCACATGCCAAACAGTTTCTCATAACCTTCCATGCAAAAAACTCCTACCTATTCCATGACTGCACGCCATTGTAGTAGTATTGGAGGTTTCATTGAATGGCCCGGACGTAGCCGTGCGCTTGTTCTTGCATAAATTGCCTGAAAGAATACAAAACAACCCCTCGTGACGCCGACATGAACAGAGGTGCTGCCACACAGAACCTTGAAGTAAGGACAGAGAGCTCACTTGTTTACATCTGAGTTTTAGCTTGTTTACATCTGAGTCTCGCTTGTGCTGACGAAACTCCATCTCAAGAAGACCCTCCTGGTCTTCGTCACTATCGAAGTCAGGAATGTCCAGGTGACTAAACGTTTCCAACAGGCCTGACAGAAAACTCTGAGCACTTTGAGACACTGACATTCAATACGCAGGACAGGCCGGGATTGACGTCGAAAGCTGAGGGAGCGGCTTGGTTCCTCTGTGAAGGTTCCGCAGAATCGGTGAGGGTGAAAGTAATGGTGGCTTTCAGCATTTATTTGATGTATGCGACCGCCGTTTCTTTAGTCACGTGTTTGTACTCATTGCTGAAATTCGTGAGTGTAACCGTTGCTTTGCCTCTCCGCAGCTCGGAAATGATTTTGAGACGCCAATATTACGGGTGACCATCAGATGCTGACTGCCTTCAACGATGCCTTCCAAGTCGGGAGATTTCGGAGTGCGATATAAATGACAATGAAGCGAGGCGGAATGGTGGCTTGTTCTTCCTGTACATTCAAGGCGTGGTTGCCTGACGGTGTAACCCGTGGTAGTGCTTCTTCTCTGGATAAGGTTATCGACTTTCTTCTCAGGTTTATGACTGCACCATGCAGGCATAAGAAGTCCATGCCAAGGATCACGTCTATCAAGAAACACTGTAGGACTACGAAGTCCATGGGATATATACGGCTGTTAATAAAGACTCTTGCTGTGCAAATTCCAGCCGTCGTTACAAGCTGACCTCCGGCTGTGCAGATTTCAGGGCCTTCATAAGCTGTCCCAACTTTCTACAACTTCGCAGCGAACAATCCACTGATGACGAAATAGTCGGCTCCAGTATGAACGAGAGCAGTCACACCGTGGCCATCGATAAGAACGTCGAGGTCACTAGTACCCCTTCTCGCGTTGCAGTTAGGCGGTGGCGTCGGGTCTTGGCTTGTCCCACTGCTTGCATGTTCCGTCTATAGGTCACCTTCGGTAAGTGAGGTTTCCTCGTCAGGACTTTGCCTGGTTGGCGACCTGTTGAGAAACTTCTGTCGCAGCGTCATCGTCGTCGGAGGATCTTGGGTAGTTCGTCGCACATCAACGGCACCTCCATCGGTTGCTGGCTTAAGTTTTCTGGGTATGGGCTAGGAAAGTGGCCCCACATTGAGCCAGAGTACTGCCGGTGTTGCGGTGACAACCGGCAGCTGGGCGACAGTGAACGGGAAGGACTTCGTGGTGTCCATTGCATTCCTGTCAGGTAGTCGGTGATGTCACGTGGCCGTTCCCCTTGCTGCGGACGTGGTGCATTGACGGCGAAGCCATGCAGTCCCATATACCGGTACTGGCAGCGGCGGTAAGTTTGGCCAGCTTCCCTACAGTGGTAGCAGAGTGGGCAGTGATAGGGGGAGGGGGAGAGAGGGCCATACGTCTGTCTTCCTCGGTGCATTACGCCGGCCTTCAAGTGGGTGGTATGGCGTTGGTGCTGGTGGCGGTGGTGTCTGGCGCTGGAACTTTGGTGGTACGGTGTCTTGACGTGGGCGTGGTGCGAGATCACTCCCACGCACTGCAGCAACGTAGTTCCTCGCCTCCGAATGAAACTGCGTTGAAGGTTCGGGAATTCCCAACGCTTGCTGCACTTCTTCACGAATAATGTGAGTGATCGAGTCCACTCGAGGTGAAACCCGCGGAGTCCACTCGAGTCCACTCGAATAGAAACCAATTTTTCTGGCCTACAACCAGCCCTGCATATAACTCCCATGGCAAACAACAGACCGCTCATAACTAACAACAACAAGAAAAGAATGTTTTTTGTGTGTGTGTGTGTGTGTGTGTGTTGTAAGCTGCTTTCTTTGCATTATTTTCAAGCAGTTTCGTGAAGCCAGCTTGTGGAACGACATCCCCATTGTAAATAAAGCAAATATTTGAAACGTTTATATCGAATACAATTTCATGATATAAAAACTCTCAAAAAACATCAACCAGTTAGACATGTTTTACAACTCGACTTACAACGTTCCTTGAAATATTCATGTTTCTAACGCCACGTTGTTACCAACGTCAAGTTGTTACGCCAGTAGGCTTCGCGGCAGTGCTTGTGAATAATGCCAAGAAGGTTGCTTCATGGCCGCACACAGGGATCTTTTTCTTTTTTAACAATTATTATATACTTACCTTAGAGGTAGGCGGGTGTGGTTTATGGGCAGGGTGGCTTATACGCGCAAAAATGTGCTATAGATGTAAACAGTGCTTCATATCTTCGCACGCATACGTGCGCACTCACCGGGTGCTGGACGCCACTCCTGCGCATTGGTCCTAATGTCTGCCTAATATCGTACTCGTAGTGCTTCTTGGCATTGTGTACGCTGCCACCATGGCAGTTTTTTTACTTCTACACGTTCGACTGTGTTTGTTAACGGTATCTTTACTGTTTGGTGCAGCGTCCTTGGTTTCGCGGCAGCCATCACGTTAATAGAGGGAGCGAAGAAACGCGAAAAGAGATCTCGCAAGATGGATGCGACAATGAAGAATCCTGGCAGAAAGCACATGATGGCAAGTGGTAGTTTATTGCCAGCCCGCAGCGCGCCCTCACCCTGCTCGCTCTCCCTAGAGAAAGCGGGAAGGTCCCCTCCTCCCGTCAGGTAAGGTGAAACAATGGTGAGGGAAAGCCAACTTCTTGGGACGTGTTTCGATGCCCGATGTTCAATAGGCGAAGTGTTCGGGCTACTTTTGTTCAGAGTAGCTGCGGTCAATTTTCCTGTGAATTGACGCCAAAGCATTGTAACATTGAGAAATATTTAATGTAGAGGATAATTTAATTTAAAGCAGTTCTGAGTAGGTGGTTTTCACGAAGAAACTGTTGCAGATTCGGTCCCTGCCAGTGGCTAATCGCCTGTACGCCCACTTAACTATCTTCGCATCTATGTCACGATTACTACAACACACACAAAACAGTAGAGCTGATATCCTATATACGTTACTTTGCTTCATTATCTGTTGGTTTCGATTGAAGAGACGCTAACAAAAAACCGTAAGTCACTTTAGACGTAAAAAATATGCTCTGACATCTACAGTGTCGTTAACTTCATCAGCATATTTTATTTAGTAGACGAAAAAATCAGAGTCGAAGGCCTAGCTTCAGGATTTCCGGACAAAAACGTCAGTGGTAACGTCACAGGTTTAAAAATGTTTTTTTTTCGTATTTTAGCCACACTGTTTCAATGCAATTACTTGAAACATGGTATGTTATGTGGCTGGGTTCCGACAGAGAATAATGTACATACCCAGAAAATTTTGCAAACATGGCCAAAGTAGACGTACTGTTTATGCTACAGTTAGGTAGAATATACAGTAACTCTATGCAAAACTGCCTGTACACGCCACCTAGCAGTGCTATTGTCTACCACTGTGGCCGGCTGGAAACGTATTTTCTTGTTATTCACTGGCCTTTCAATTTTCTACTGCCGCCCAGCGCATTCTCAGTTCATCGTTTTCACGCGAAGCGCTTATCTGCCGTATGGCCGTCGCGTTTCTAATTTCACAGCAGGATCAAAGCTTGCACGGCGTACCTTAAACGGCGTTCCGTTGGCTAGATGACACTTTGTGATTGTGACCGATAACACAGACTCCTTTCGATTGAGAAGTACGTACACGCAGACGTCACAAAGCGTATCGCGTTAAAAAGTGAAAGGTGAATATTATTTGTACTCAGTCAAGAAAGAGACAGGCCAGCGATTAAATGAGGAATGCTTGTCGGGCGCCGTGGCGCTGTCGACCAGCGCTGACGTAGCTGAAGTTCGCGGAGAGGCTTTTGCCCACGCGCTCGCATGCTTCGTAAATTTTTGTGGTCTACTGTCCTTCACTTTTACCATTTAGGAACGACGTAGGCCCTGGTAGCCGTTATCAATATCTATGACGTCACGACTTTAAGGGGATGTGGCCACCCACATGTGACTGGAACGCGTTTTTTTTAAGCTTACCAAGCGCTCTTTACAAGTAGCCAAGATGCTTTTGGCATTGAGAAAATGATATGTTTATTATTACGAAATTGCTTTTCTCTTTAGCGTCTCTCTACTGCTGTGTCTAACGAAAGAAATGTGACTCGAAATTTCCTTCCTCCACTCATTCTTAGCGAGGGTCTCGTTTCGACAGTTGTGATGCCTTTAGGTTGTATACGAGGGATGCTAGCCAGGTGTGGCTCTTCCACTCGAAGGTAGCTTTTGAATTGGCCCGACACATTCAAAGAATAATTTCCTGGGCCTTTGAGATGACTCTCCGGTTTGTCGAGTCGAGACGGTGCACTAGAAAAAGTGCGCGCCACGAAGATAACTTCCGCTTCTGAGTCAACCTCGAACTTGAGTGGGACGTCAATCACGTTAACTCAAACGAACTTGGCGTTTGCTTCACAACTGGTCCTGACAGCCTGCATCTCGATGGCAAGTGACTGTCAGCTGAATGAACGCTGCTTGGCAAAACAAACTGCTTCGAAATGTCCTTTTTTTTGCAAAAATTGCAAACCGATTTATTGGCAGGGCGAAATTCTCGTTGATGTACCTCTCGTCCGTAGAATCGACACGATCCATGCGTCGCGTTGACGAAGGATATCAGTCTGGACGCCGATGCTCGCTTACGTGACTTTCTTTGCGCTGGTGTCTACTTGGCTGCATCCACAGTGACAGGCCCAGATGATTCGTTTTCGCGTTCCAGTTTTTTCTCTTTCGGCGTCTTCGTGTAGCCGTGCATGCAGGAGCGCTTTGTTCAGCGTGAACTCGGAAGTGCGGCAGAGTTGCTCTGATACTCTGCTGTTTACAAGCCAACGATAAATAGGTCTTTAACAAGCCTATCCTCAATGGACGCTGAGCCGTAGTTGCATCTTTTGACCAAGTTTCTTAGCGTGGCGTAAAAAGCGTCAACGCTTTCGTCTGCTTGCTGCGTCCACTTGTGAAAACAGTAACTCTCAGGAACTTCGTTTAGTGGGCGAATGAAATATGAGGTGAACTTGCCTTTCACGACGATGTACGAAAGAGCTTCTTCCGCCGTCAAGATGAGAGACGCCAGCACGCGACGAACTTAAACACCCGTGCAATACAGAAGCGTTCGTACCGAACCTCGTCGGTAGCTCGGTGTATTCCTGTTGCGTATAGGCATAGTCCTCGAACTGCTCAATCCTGGTGGACCATGAACTTGTGTCATTGAAGTTGAAGCTCGGTGGCTGTTTGAGTCCAGGTACTCCAGCAAACGCAGCGTTAGGCTCCATTATCGAGTGAGAACGGTGGTCATTTCTGACACAATGTACGAGGCACTGCCATGTGCGATGCAACATGCAGACAGACGCTAGGCGCGTCTACATCAGTGAATCCGAGACCGGGTTACCGAATGAATCTCCCTAGCTTTGTTCGACTACCGCATATATAGAGCGCAAGACCCATGAAGCCCTCTACAGCACCCGCAGCGTTGGCTGCCCGAGAGTGCTTTGAACTCTGTGGGGTGGAGCAGTCGATGTTTATGTACATTATCAGTGTCTTGATGGCATCAAATTTCATCGTCGAGGCACTCGTGCTCGCGAGGAACAATCACTTTTTCGCTCAGTGCGGACTTTCACTCAGAACGGACCCGGCTCTTCACGAAGACCCTTTGTGCTCAGCTGTTCCACTGATCATTGAGCCACGCTTCTGTTCCCCTGATCCTGTTCTGCGCTGCTGCTCACGGGTTGGAACGGCTTGAACGATGGGCGGCGGGATTGCACTTGAGCTTAACGTTTGCTTCTTTGTGGTTTTAGTGCTTTTTTGGCAGTTGTTTGTGGTTTCTGCCATATGAATTTCTGAGTTCAAGCGACTCAGGCTATTTAGATGTCGGTTTCTTCGCCTGGCCAAAGGCCTTCTCCTTGGCTAGCATCTATACCGGCCAAGGATTGGCCGATTGATTCTTTTCTTTGCGGTTGGGTTATCAACGTCCCCGTGGCTCTGGTACCGATCAATGGAGGTACGATACCTATGAAGAACCCGAAGATAATTCGAATAGAGCTTCAGAAAGCCACAACACACTTTCAAAAGGTCACTGAGGTACGTCATTTCGGTCATGGTGGTATTTTGTGCTGCTATGCCGATCAGGAGTGCGTCCGAGAGCTTCTCAATTGTTCTGAATTTGCAACGAAGCCGGTGAGCCCGTTTATTCCAGCGCATCTTGCATGTTCGAAAGGCATAGTCCGCGATGTAGATACGAGCCTGACCCCTGCAGAAATTCTTGAGTTATTTTCGGTAGCAGGCGCAGTGTCAGTATACAGGTGCACGCGTCTGGTTGACAATAAAAAAATCACCTACCGAATCGCTGATTGTAACCTTTGCGGGAACGATAAGACCATCCGAAATTAAACCTTGGCCTCTTATCTATAAGGTAGAGCCTCTATCTCCAAAGCCATTGCAGTGCTTGAATTGTTGGAGATATGGCCACAGCGCGATAGGGTGCAGATCAACTGCCAGATGTCGACTATGCGAAAAAAATCACGACAGCCGTAAGTGCAACTTGACGGAAAAGAAGTATTGTTTATGTCATGAAGCGCATCCTGCAGACTCTTTAGATTGTGAGGTGAAAGAACGAGAACTGAAGCTGCTGGAAATTGTGGAACGCAGGCGTTGCACCCGGAGGGAAGCTGTGACTTAATTACAAGAACGTTCGAAAGGTTACGCAAGCGTAACAGCACGACATACCACGGCCACGGATGCATCGTTAGCAAAATATATTGCAGAGACTATAGAGCAGGCAACGGAAAAGGCGATGGAGCGTCTTGCCAGCAGTATTATTGGAGTCGTGGCTGAATTGTTAACATCTCAGTTGACTCAAAAAATTGCTTCAGTGTCTATGAAAAATCAGACTTCACAGGATTTGGAGGTTTCAAAGTGTGCAGAAACAGAAAGTCCGATAGCTCCTACACGATGCGCATTTCCTCAAGCAGGACCCTCCAATAAGATACTGCGGGCAGATCCAGAACCCGTATCAGTTGACTCTGATGAATTCACAGATATGGATGCGGAATCTGATAATTTCTTGAAGCGTGCCAGATCTCCCCTATGGAAAAAGTCTTCACAGAAATCAAAATCTAAAAAGTACCTGTCAAAGAAAGACTTTTTGGAGAACCTCCCCAAAAAAGACTTTTTGAAGAAAAATATTTTGGATCAAGCAGTCTCTGCGGCGGGTTTATAGTGTCAAAATAGGCTTGTTAAAAGTATTACAGTGGAATTGTCGATCAATAGGGTCGACTACCACAGATGTATTGTGTATTGCTTCGCAAATTTCCCCAAATATTATTACTTTACAAGAAACTTGGCTTACAAATGGACAAAAATTTTAGCTAAAAATTATCGCTTATTTCGTTTAGACAGACCTAGCAGAGGTGGTGGACTTGCCATTTTTATATCAACTAAATTTAGTCATAGAGCGAAGGATAACTACCTGTGCATGAATTCTAACTATAAATTAATGGTATTAGACATCACTCTGCCAGGCTGTTCCCCTTTTTCTTTTGTTAACGCATACTTTCCGGTAGGAGTACAGGCCACAAGATGCTTAGATGCAATGTTAGCTTCCTGCAGGAAGGATGTAATATTAACTATTGACCTTAATTCACACCACGTGTTTTGGTGTTTCAAGACTGATGTAAATGGAAGGCACTAGTGGGAATGGACTGTTGATAATAATTTATCTTGTGTAAATTTTCCCACTGTTACATTTATTAGGAGACAATCAAAGTCGGCGATAGATCTGACATTTTCCAGCTCCTCACTAAAAATTTCGTCGTAGAAAACATTAAATTACGCAACAAACAGTGCCCACCTTCCTATTAGCTTCGATATTAACTTTCCAGGGATATTTTTAACTGGTAAAATTGGCTTGTTTGTAAATTATGAGCGTTCACAAAAAGACCTGAAGTCTACTTTGGTTCAGACATGCAGGAAGACATTCGGGCTATGAGTCTGTGTGCGGTAATTAGAAGAGCAATAAAAAAGTCAACTTTTTTAATAACTTCAGGCGCAGGCGGGTCATTTAGCCCTTGGTAGAACGCTGATTGTATGAGGGGGTATACAAAACGAAAAGTGGCGTGGAAGCAACTTATCCACAACCAATGCCCAAAAAACCGGTGTGACTCTAAAGACGTGGCAGCAAATTTTAAACGTACAGTACGAAAAGCAAAAGATGTCTATTACACTAACAAATTTAGCTATCTTTCAAAACCATACAACAGAAAAGCACCTTTCAGATTTTTGCGTTCCAGACAAATGATACCACCATCAGACAATATTGATTCTTCAATTCTATCGCCTAGCGAACTCACTTAAATATTGGAAAATATTGCTAAAGGATTAGAAGAAAGATTCAGATCAACAATGCCAAGACACATAGTAAAGCCATAGCAAAATAACAATCTGCACGGATCAAGTAACGCACCTGCAAAAAGTAGTTTCAGACCTTGAACTAAAGCTTGACGACCTGGAAAATCGTTCTAGAAGAGGGAACCTGATTGTGTACGGCATTCCCGAAAAGCACGATGAGGACGATGTCTCACTCGAACAAACTGTTAACAACACGATTATTAAGAAAACACTGGAAGTAGAGCCTGTAACAATCGAAAGAATTCACAGGCTCGGAAAGCCAGACGCTAATAAAACCAGGCCAGTTATTTTAAAACTTCTCGACACGCGGTACAAAATCAAAATCCTAAAAAACTGCAAAAAGCTCAAAGGAACTAAATTAGCGATTAGTGAAGACTTTTCAGCTCGTGTTCGTAGCATAAGGAAAAAGCTGTGGGATAGCGCCAAATCTAACAAAGAATCTGGTGACAAAGTATGGTTGGTATACGACAAGATTAGTATCAATCGAGTACTTTACCGCTGGGATGATACCGCGGGTGATAAGGTTGAGATCAAAACAGAACGCAATGCTCCCTCCAATCAAAAAAACCCAAAAAACCAAGAAGGAACACCACCCATGCGCACTCGCCGCCATCAACCACGTCCAAAATAGTTTTTGTCAATGTGAATGCACGCAGCATACTGAACAAACTCGACTCGCTAGAACCAGTACTTCTTACTGTCGACCCTGACTTCTTGGCTGTGACGGAAACGTGGCTTTCAAACGAGATTGGAGACGCCGAAATAGCACCTCCAAGCTACTGCATTGTGAGAAAGGACCGAGCAACACGCGGTGGTGGAGTTGCCAATCTTATTAACAAACGTATTCGATTCACACAGATGCCTGTTGTTGAGGGTGCTGAAGCGGTGTTCTGCAATGTATTGTGCGGCTCATTTTCAATTGTAGTTGGTTGTGTTTATCGCAGTCCAGGGTCAGACCATATCGCTATGCAATCACTGCACGCATACATGCAGCGCAATGTGAAAGGCAAGAGACTAATCCTTTTGGGGGACTTTAATCTGCCCGACATAAACTGGCGGACCATGCAACATGAGTGCTTAAACTCAGAAACCCTTTTTGATGCAATGCTATCTTTTAACCTCAATCAGATAATAATGGAGCCAACACGGGTGCAGGCGGAGAGCTCCAATATACTTGACCTGGTATTCTTAAGCGACCATTTTCCAAGTGACAAACACAGTGTAGAAATTCTCGATGGGATATCGGACCACAAGCTAATCGTGTGCAGCGCATCAATTTGTGCCAAAAAAAGCCACTGCCACTCGCAAAAAAACGTTCCAGATTTTCAGAATGCAGATGACACCAGCATAATTGATCACCTATCAATGGAATTAGCACCGTTTGAAGAAGATTCGAAACGCGCATCCATAAGTGTCGATGAATTGTGGTTAAAATTTAAACATACCATAACGCACTGTATAAAATTATATGTACCAAATAAAACAAAAAGATCAAAGAAATATAATCCCTGGATTAATCGTGATATCATTCACGCGAAACGCAAAGTTAAAAGACTCAGGAAATCCCTAAAACTAAGTAAAAGCAAATCTAAGACTGCTCTCACAACTGCCATCACCGACATGAAATTAAAAATAAGAACCGCAAAAAAGAACTATTTCACTAACACCCTTCTTAGTTTCATCAAAAACTCGCCGCAAAACTTTTGGGGCTTTCTTAAAAATTCAAAGTCTAGCGAAAACGCTAGTCATCCTCAAGATGGCCTTATTACCCCTTTTTCGCTCAATGAGCACTTCCAATCAGTTTTTACGGCCGATGACGGCGATCAACCACCAATCGACATTTTGAACAAAGAACCATTGGAACTGCCCG